TGCAAGTCATATACACATGAATGAAAACGATATCATACATGGAATTATCAGATGCACCATTGGCAGATGAACCCTTACTTTTTCTAGATGATCACTGAGACACTGGCTGTTGTGTTTCTGAGAGTTTGATTTTGGATAAATACTAATTCACTGAAACACTTCCATAATACTAATTCATTTGCCTTATTTGTCGAAATTGAAAACTCTAAAATTATGATGTTGAAGACTTGAGGTATTCTAGTCTCAATGCTAAGTTTCCTAAACGGCATTTAAAATTTAAGCTAACAATTGTCTTTTAAAATATTGAGAATCTCTAGTTTGGAGCTGTCAGAAATTTATGAAATTTCTTGGAGTTTTTGTTTAGCAAGTGTTTCAAGTTTATTTCCCGGACATTTGACCACCATCGTTGTGTTTTGATGTAGGATTGGAAGAGGAAGTGGGCACGTGGTGAATGGTGATAAAGGGGTGGTTTACACTCACAGGGACCTAGCTTTGCAGGATTGAGACTGCACAGCCCAAGTATTCGGCAGTGGTTTTCTTTGACACTAGCATTTGATGAAGCCGTCTGGTCTAATTAATCATCTGCAATTTACGAGTCTGGAATGGATCGATGGAGGGATGGTTTTGGTTTCAACAGAGATTCGATATCAGATTTCATTCCCACTGAACGTACTATAAAAATAGAGCAGTTATGCACTTCATTGTCATCTCAAAATTTTGTGAGAATTTTGATTAAATCTCTTTGGAGGGCATGATCCTCTTAATAATTTCACTTGTAAGCTCTAAGAGCAGCTAGATTGACGTGCCCGGTTGCATGGCACGAGAAACATTGTTTTATAAGTGGTTGATATTTAAGTAATGAAAAATAACGTGTTAAGCATTGACTCTGTTAACATGGCATCAAGATATTCTATTATTGCCTCCACCACCTCAAAAATTTTCTTATTTAATACGAAATGTGCTTACGTTATTAATATGGAGTTTTGGGTTGACAGAATTTGTTCTTTTCTTGTGGCTAACTATTAGTAGAAAGATGGTAGAAAAATGAGACTAGAAGAAAACGAAATAAGAGTAAAGCTTATATCAATTATTAAAAACCTTTTTGTCATCTTACGCTTCAAAAATGTAATGATCGAAAAATATTTTTTGGCTCCTGAGAGTTGTTCAAGGATATGATTTCGGTCCATTCCTTTTAATTCACGTTAAAATAAAATAATAGGTCAAATAAGCATCAAAATTCAGTCATGCGTTAGAATCTGTAGACCCAGAATCGTTTGTGCTAAAAAAATAATATATCTGTTCAAAAAATTTAGAAAACCAATTTCTTTGTTTGTCATTTTCTTTGGCTGGTATTGTCGAAAGAGTCGCGTATGTGATCACAAGTTTATACATGGGGATTTTCTGACAATCTAGGAGGACCCAGAGTTTTGGGAAACAACCCAACTCTTAAAGATTCAATCTTTACTAAATATACACACAAATAGCATTTAGGGAGAGAGATACAGAGATGAAAGAGCTGTATGGCAGTCCAGGGACAAAGAGCGGGCTCATGTTAAGGGTTGGGCAGTGTTTATTTGCAGCTTCTTCATTTGGAGTCATGGCATCTGCCTCTGGGTTTTCCACTACTACTGCCTTTTGGTAATTTTATTCTCTCTGATTTGTTTTTACTGCTATTTCTAGAAAGTTTCGTTGTTATTATGTTTTATCTGTTTCCTGTTTCCGGGTGTACATGTGGGGACTGGAAACTATAATTCTGTTTGGGGGGTTTGTTTTCTTTTAGCACATTTGGGTTATTCCACATTCGACAGTACGATGAAAGTTGTACAATGAAAGTTGCTGTGTTTGGAGGGGAGTTATTGTCTATCGTCTGCCTTTATGGTAGAATCAGTCGGGGGCTGAGAGACGATGATTTACCCTACGGCGGATGTCAGCGGTTCAGGTCCGCTTAAAATTGTCCAGTTATCATTATGAAGAAAACCAATTGTTGGTTATTAAAGAATAAAAAAGAACGGATAAAAAAAATACCATGGGGATGTAAGCTTTATCTGGAATAAAAAGAAAGAATAAAAAATATTCAATATGATTTCGGGCTGTGCAAGAGAAATCATATTGAATCTTCGGACACCCCGAAAATACTATGGGGATGTAAGCTTTATCCGGAATGATTGGGCTTAAAGCGTCAAAAGGTAGTTTTTAAGTCCGTCTCCCGGGACATCCAATTGCTTCGATTTGAATTATCTGGAGAATGCCTTATGTATATATCAAAAAGATGGCCAATCATACCTATTTCTCAATACCATAAAACGAAAAAGAAGAAATATGCCCGTAAAGCATCAATAGGTGGTTTTTAAGTCCATCTCTCGGGACATCCAATTGCTTCGATTTGAATTATTTGGAGAATGCCTTATGTATATATCAAAAAGATGGTCAATCATACCTATTTCTCAATACCATAAAACGAAAAAGAAGAAATATGCCCACATTTCTTGTCTTTGGAATTATTATTCGTGAAGGATAGATAGATAGAGAATATAGAACTTCCCAATTTGTTAGTTCAAGAACTAGAGAGTGATCATTGAAACAGATTCCTCCTTGACAATTTAATGCATGTGAATGATCACATGTGATCACGTGTACAACACAAATGCGGCAGGACCTGCCAGTATATTGAGAGACCATCAACATATATGATAGTAATAGTTAGGCATTTTAAACTGAGATGCCTTTGAGCTTAATTTTCTATTTTGGAGGCAATGGGGTTGTGGGAGGGAATTTATTTTTTCTTTGTGCTGCTCTTGTGAGTTTAGTAACTTATAATAAACTTGGAGTTTAATTTGCTTGATGACCAGGGGCGGATCCAGCAACCGGCGAGCCGGGGCGGCCGCCCGCCCGTGCTAGATCCGCTGGGAAAAAAATTTAAATAAGATTTATGAAAAATATATGTGTATATGTATATGTATATGTATATATATGTATATGTTATTGTGTTACCTTTACTCAAATGTTGTGTAGATCATTTAGAAGAGAGGATGCCTTTCCATGTGAGATGCTTGGATTCGATTCTCTTCAATAACATTTTCTCTTTTAATTTTTAAACACAGTAAATAATGACTAATATTAACTAATAATTGTACCAATGTTCAACAAAAAGAAGGTAGCTCATTGGTAAATAGGTCATTATTTGCACTAGAGGTATGGGGTTCAATTATTTGTTTTTCTACTTTTTGTTTAAATTTTCAAATCAATAATTAATAATTAAACAATTATATATTGTTAGTTTTCGTTTTCGAAATAATTCCTTTACAAAATTTATGAGCTCAAATTATTATTTTATGATATATATTTTTTTATTGTTAGATTTTATTAATTTATTTTATAAAATTCAAATTTGGATAATCTAAGTGTTGTTCTTTATTCTTTTAAAAGTTCGAAAAATACTTTTTCTTTTGAGGTGAAAAATAGTTTTAGTTTTAAAAATCATTATTTTCAAAATTTTGCATAACCTTCGCCTAAACTTGGAGCTTGTCTTTACTATTTAATCATGTTTTACGTATAAACTGTTTCATTTGAATTCGTAAAAAAATTAAAACTTGATCGTACATGTATGATTGAAAAATGTATTTTTTTTAATTATCTTATATTGTATTAGATTATATTTTCAAATGTATACGACTTTTTCACGTTTTAGTGCATTTATATATTGATTGAAATTTTTTTAACATTATTTAATTAAATATTAATAAACAATCCTATTATTGCGGCCATTAGCGACCGTCCAAACTGACTTAATATCCTGGATCCGCCCTTGTTGATGAATGGATAGAGCGTTGGTGTTTTCCATGTTAAACTCCAGCCCCCTGGTTTGTCAAGTATGTGAATAGCAAAGTAATTTGCGATGAGCTAACATATAGTCTGTGGTGCTTACTATTTATAGGCATCTGAAGGAGTGATAATGTGTTGATGTGATAGTATAGTACTGAGATTTGACAAAAAGAGTGAAAGATACACATCTTTTTAGCCTCTTAGATTAGGACAACACATCCCGATGTATCGTTACTCCTGTTGTTTGGGTTCAACATATCGCGATTGTTAAGGATAAAATCCAACATTATTTAAATACAAAAATAAAAATCAACAAACAATGGCTTGGCTACTTAGCTCAACGAGATTGATATTTTAAGATGAAACACCTAATCTTATCGTCACTAAGTAACCGATCACATTTATTTGAGACAAATTATACATGAAAGGATAAGTTTAAGTAAAAATTGGTTATTCTAAGTTAGAAATTATATTCTTTTTCTTTTAATTTTTTTTATTGAGTCTTAAACAACATCATTACCTAAATTTTTACGGATAATTTATTCCTTAAGTAAGTTGTAATAATTTCCATTTAAATTTTAAGGTATCAAGTAAAATATGTGGTTTGCAAACTCTGTGCTATTCAGTTATATTTGACATCTTAGATTGCATAAATTTACCACATATTCTTTTACTATTGGTTAACCTTAATGGAAAGAAATGTATACTCATGGATCATTGTGGAACCTATCTATTTTTTTAATGACACAATTAAGGATCATACAAGCATACTCAACACAAACTTTATCTTCATGCAGTAATCTGTAGCCTGCCTCCTGAGTGTCCACCAGTTCCAGTACAGTGCTATCAATATTTTGTTGAGATTCTTAGCACACTATTTTACGAATTCGAACTTTTAAGTAACTATATTTTGAGCTAGTATTTAGATTTATTCAACGTTATTTTGCCTTCAACTTTTTCTATTTTTACCTTTTTTCATTTTTATGCAGCCAGTTTTATCGCTCTGTGCGAAGAAATAAAATGATTTTCTAACTCGTGGTTGGAATAGTTTTCAAGCAAAGAAAGTCAAGGACATCGCTTTTTGGATCATATTTTTCCAAATTACCCTTTCCCTTTGTGAATTCCTACTGCTTAGGAATGGTTAATTATTACGGGTGCTTCAGTACTTAATAGCATCAATGGGGCTTCAGTTTTTATGGAGCTTTGGACTTGCCTGCATTGACGTACATGCTTTGAAGTTCTATAAAGACCTGCATAATCAAATCATCATGAGCCTTTTTGTTGTTGGCGACTGGGTAACTAATTCCTCTTTAACTTCATTTCTTTCATTACTTCCACAAGAGCATGCTATTATCACATCAATTATGGTAAATTAGGACGCCACTTTAGAAACTGGCTGAAGGAAACTGTTGCAATAAGTTCACATGGTTGCTTCTTCTCCCTTGTCAACCCATCTTAATCAACAATCCTCAATGCACAGAAGTTGACTTTTACCTTTTTTTTTTAGCATTTACCTTTCTGGTTCAAGGAAATTTATCTTGACCTACAAACCCTGAAAGGTTTTAATTATAATTTAACGAATAAACAATTCTATGAAGTGTGAATAGAAGTAAAGGATACTTAATCAAAATAAATTTATTGTATAGACAACATTTTTTGTGTAATATTGTAAAATGTCTTGCATGATATAAATGCATTATAATGTAAAACTTTTGAGAAGTCACTGTATTGGAAAAAACTGATTTTCCTATTTAACTGACTCTTTCAGTTTTGATTTGTTTTTCCCACTTTCCCACTTTCCCAGGAAGAGCTAAAGCCATCAATTTGTACTGTAGAAAACTCTTTTGGTTAAACGTGAATCTGTGAACTGGAAACAGAGAAAAGAGGTCATTCAGCCCATTCATATTTATTGATTTAGGAAAGGAAGGATAGAAGAAGAGAGTAGCATCGCAATCAATCCCCCACATGGGGGATCTGTCCAGCTTGAGTGAGCGTACCTCTACCTGTCAGATAGAAGCGGGCGGATATCCGCCTACCTCAGTCTTATAACCTCTTGTATAGTGAATGAGAGATAAACCTAAAAATGGGTAATTGATTATGGAAGGAGCACCTGAAATTCCCTCTGAATTGAGATGAGATTCTACTTTCACTTCCTACTTCCCGTTTTACTCTCTCTCTCTCTCTCTCTCTCTCTCTCACACACACACACTCACACACACAAACATGTGTGGGTGCATAAAAGCGTGTTCACTCGCTACCACAACCCCTTCTCTTTACTTCTGCCTGCCAACACTTTGTTCTCCCTTAAAGATTGACGACCTCTGGTAGGGACAATAATAATGCTGTTGGTGTGCTTCTTTGTTTTTCTTCACGAGGCATCATCATCCATCCAAACAAATTTAATTTTCCACCCATTCAACTGGCTGAGGCCACCCTTACTGCCAAATCATTCATCTGACATCACTTTTAACGATTGTGTTACGACACTGATATTCACCAGCACCCAGCTGGCAAACCGGAGAAGAACAGCAACAAACCAGAGACGAGCAACTCAAGCAAAACTACTTTAGTAGATGTTGTTAAATAGTTGGATAGATAATTCTGTTAGCCTCAGGTTGTTAGGCAGTTAGTAGGTTAGCTCAGTTGTCTATAAATAATCAATTGTATTACACTTAGTGCTGTGAAGTTTTCTTTTCATCAATGGAATTCTCCAATTACTCGACCCCTTCTTCTCAATTATATTAAAGTTCTGTCATCACAGTTTCTTTCCTATTTTAATTGATGATTTCAACATGGTATCAGAGCATATTTAGCTGAAATTTATCATCAATTATCCGGAAAATGGCAGATTTAGAAAACATTATTCCTTCGGCTGATGATCCAACCAGCCAGTATTATTTGCATCCAAATGATAATCCTGGAGCATTAATCGTTTCAGAGATTTTTAATGGAGATAACTACATATCGTGAAGTCGAGCAATATCCATGGCATTGAGTGTAAAGAATAAAACTGGATTTATTGATGGAACCTTGAAGCCTCCAATATCAGTATCAGGTAATTCATACAACTACTGGCTTCGAGCAAATAATTTTGTCCTTTCGTGGTTATTGAATTCAATTAGCAAAGACATTCGACAGAGTCTGTTGTACATCGTGTCTGCATCTGAAGTCTGGAATGAATTGAAAACTAGATATAGTAGAAGCGATGGACCTAGGGTATACCACCTAGAAAAATGTCTCAGTGCAATTTCACAAGGATCACAAAGTCTCACCATGTATTACAACTCATTTAAATCCATTTGGGAGGAATACACCAGCTACAGATCATTACCAAAGTGTAGCTGTGGGATATTATCTAATTGCACTTGTGATATCCTGAAGAGCATATCAGATATACAACAGGCAGATGCAGTCATGAAATTTCTTGTAGGATTAAATGAGTCATATTCTGCACTACGAAGCCAGCTATTACTTACTTCACCACTTCCATCATTAGCTCGAGTTTATGCTCTAATGCTTCAAGAGGAAAGTCAAAGAGATCTGCAGAATTATTCCATTTCAGAATCAGCAGCCATGACAACAAGGCAACCAAATAGATCATTCATCAGACCCCCACCTTGGAAGGACAAGCAAAGATCAAAATGCACTCATTGTGGATATTTCAATCATACCGTGGATAAATGTTTCCATCTTATTGGTTTCCCCCCTGGCTGGAGAGGATCCAAGGGACTGAAGGTCTTGGTAAACAATCCAGCTGCACATATTGTGAAAGGAGATCAGCTGGCAAAGGATGAGGGTTCCAGTGACTCGTTTAATCAGGACCTTTATAAACAATTCCTGGCTTTTGCTAGAACTCAGCAACCATCCTCTCAGTCATCTAACTCAGCAATTCAAGTTGAAGGTACCATCACTACAGGTATATCTCTCTGTAACTCAATTTTTTCAAAATCCAAAGCCATTGCCTGGATAATAGATAGTGGTGCCACAGACCACATAGTATGTTCACCAACTTTCTTATCCTCTATTGATTCAACCATATCAACAAGAGTAAATTTACCAAATGGATCATCTGCCCCTGTCAGTCACATTGGAAGAGTAAAACTTACTGAGAATTTGTTCCTTGAACGTGTTCTTTGTGTGCCTACTTTTTCCTTCAATCTATTGTCTATCTCGAAACTAACCAAAACTTCAAATATTCTTGTGCTTTTCTCTGCTTCTCAATGTTTTATGCAGGATCCTGTCAGCAAGAAGATGATTGGTTTTGCTAGGGAAAAGGATGGTCTATATCATCTCATACCAATCCAATCCAACACTTCATACTCCCTTTCAAGGCATCTCACAGCATCTGTTGCTTTCCCGATCAATTTCAAGCTTTGGCATTATAGACTTGGGCATATTTCTAGTGTTAGAATGTCTAAGATTCCTTGCATTTCCTCTCAGTTTTCTTGTAAAGACTTGAATAAATGTGACATTTGTCCTTTAGCAAAGCAGAAAAGATTACCTTTTCCTTTTAGCAATTCTGTTTCAACTGGAATCTTTGATTTGGTGCATTGTGATATTTGGGGTCCATTTCACGTTTCTTCCTGTGATGGTTTTAAATATTTTCTTACTATAGTTGATGATTATTCCAAATGCACTTGGGTTTACATGATGAAATCGAAGAATGAAACCCGTAGCCTTCTAAAAGGATTCTATCAATTGGTGCTCACACAGTTTCAAACCAGAATTAAAATCCTTCGTACTGATAATGGAGCTGAGTTCCTCATGAGTGATTTTTACACTTCACATGGCATTCTCCACCAAAGGAGCTGTGTGGAATCACCACAGCAAAATGGTACTGTTGAGAGAAAACACCAGTCCATTTTACAGGTTGCTAGGGCACTACTTTTTCAATCAAATGTGCCTCTCATCTTCTGGAGTGATTGTATCCTGACAGCAGTCCATATCATTAATAGAATTCCTTCTCCATTTCTTGACAACAAGACTCCTTATGAGAAACTCTTCCAGAAACCTGCTGATTATGCTCACCTTCGCACTTTTGGTTGTCTGTGTTTTGCCAGCACCCTTCCTAGTCATCGACACAAATTTTCACCTCGAGCATCAAAGTGCATTTTCCTTGGTTATCCACTTGGCACAAAAGGTTATAAGGTCTATGATCTTGCCAATCACAGAACATTTATCAGTCGGAATGTAATTTTTCATGAATTTTCTTTTCCTTTCCAAAGCTTTTCCCCTCACCTCCCAGATGACCCTCTTCTCTTCCCTATACCTGAACCTCCTTCTGCTTTTTCTTATCCAGCTCCCTCACACCCTATCCAACCTTCAGACACTCACAGACAGCAACCTACTACTAGTCCAACAGATGATACCAGCTACCTTTCTTCTCCCCCTCATATATCAGATGTTCTTCCTGATGATAACCAACATGTGACAAGAAAATCCTGTCGACAAAAGCAACCCCCTTCATACTTAGCTGATTACCATTGCAATTTCCCTTCCACCTCGACTGCACTCCAATCATCAATCCTGTTGGCAGATCCTCCTATCTCTGGTAAGCCTTTTTCCATTTCGAGTTTTTTATCAAGTGCTAGACTTAGTCCAGCATATAAAGCCTTTACAACTTCTATTTCCAATGTCTATGAACCAAAATTTTTTAAGCAAGCAATCCAGATTCCACATTGGCAAGCTGCCATGGATAGTGAAATAAAGGCCCTTGAAGCAAACAACACTTGGTCCCTCACTCCTTTGCCATCTGGTAAACACACGATTGGCTGTAAGTGGGTTTACAAAGTTAAATTTCAGGCTGATGGCTCTGTCGAAAGGTATAAAGCCCGTCTAGTTGCCAAAGGTTACACTCAACAAGAGGGCTTGGACTTCTTTGACACGTTTTCCCCTGTGGCGAAATTGACTTCTATCCGTGTCCTATTGGCTGTTGCAGCAGTAAATAATTGGTTCATTCATCAGTTGGACGTCAACAATGCGTTTCTTCATGGTGATCTCCATGAAGAGGTATACATGGACTTGCCTCAAGGCTATCCCAGTCATGATTCATCCCTTGTTTGTAAACTGAACAAAAGCCTCTATGGTCTGAAGCAGGCCTCACGCCAATGGTTCGCAAAATTGACTTCCAGTCTCCTCTCATTTGGCTTCCATCAGACTACCTCTGATTCGTCTCTGTTTCTAAAGTCTACTGGTGATTCTTTTCTGATTTTATTGGTTTATGTTGATGATATCCTTCTTGCCAGCAATAATATTGATGCCATTCAGGGACTAAAACAATTTCTTGATGACCAGTTCACAATTAAAGATCTGGGGGACATTAAATACATTCTTGGTTTGGAGGTGGCTCGTTCCCAGCACGGTACTAGCCTTTGCCAGAGGAAATATGCTTTGGATATACTTGATGATTGTGGGTTTTCTGGATGCAAGCCTGTGGCTTTTCCTATGGAATCTTCTCTTAAACTCACCGCTTGTGAGAAAGATTTATTACCTGATCCTAAAGTCTATCGCCGGCTCATTGGTCGCCTCATCTATCTCACTATTACTAGACCTGATTTGTCCTACTCTATCCAGGTCCTAAGTCAGTTCATGTCTAAACCAGCTCAACCTCACCTCCTTGCTGCTTACAGAGTTCTTCGGTATATTAAAGCTACCCCTGGTCAGGGTCTTTTCTTCTCCTCCACTTCTGATCTTCAACTGAAAGCATACAGTGACAGTGATTGGGCTGGTTGTCTTGACACAAGGAGGAGCATCACTGGTTTTGCCATTTTCCTTGGGGACTCTTTAATTTCTTGGAAGTCTAAAAAGCAATCAACTGTGAGTCGATCTTCTGCTGAAGCTGAGTATAGGGCTTTGGCGTCTACTACATGTGAAGTTCAGTGGTTGATTTACCTTTTACATGATTTGGGTATTGCTCACTCGCACCCAGCTCTCTTATATACTGATAGTAAGTCTGCTCTTTCTATTGCCACCAACCCTGTGTTACATGAGAAGACAAAACATATTCAGATTGATTGCCATATCGTTCGAGAGAAAGTCCATTCTGGCCTGATCAAAATCATTCACGTTCCTTCTCATCATCAGATTGCAGATATCTTCACCAAGCCGCTTGGTTCTATCCCGTTTCATTCTCTAATCTCCAAGATGGGCATTTTGAATATCCATGCCCCTCTTGAGGGGGGCTGTTACGACACTGATATTCACCACAATCCAGCTGGCAAACCAGAGAAAAACAGCAACAAACCAGAGACGAGCAACTCAGGCAAAACTACTTCAGTTGATGTTGTTAATTAGTTGGATAGATAATTCTGTTAGCCTCAGGTTGTTAGGCAGTTAGTAGGTTAGCTCAGTTGTCTATAAATAATCAATTGTATTACACTTAGTGCTGTGAAGTTTTCTTTTCATCAATGGAATTCTCCAATTACTCGACCCCTTCTTCTCAATTATATTAAAGTTCTGTCATCACAGTTTCTGTCCTATTTTAATTGATGATTTCAACAGATTGATACATAATTGTGGTTGGGACTCAAAATTGCTCTCAAATCTCGGTCAATACATGAAGATAAAATTTTCAAAAATTATGCTCATCATAACCGTAGAAATATCCCTCAAACCAAGTACTAAATTCATATTTAAAATTTTTACTTCACATCTAGCATCTCTGTAGGTACAGAACCTGAGAAACAATGCTGAAGTATTATAACAAAAGCTAAGAATGATAAGTGCAAAACAAATCTTGGGACTTTTTCAATCACTATTTTTCATGTCCCTACTATTGCTCAATGTGCTTTATTTAGATTTTTTTTTTTTCATTCTAATTGATTTCTAGGATCACTTCTGTTCAATCTCTTTGATAAGGAGAGCGGTGTTTTGGTTACATGAGCTGTTGAAACAGGCAATGAACTTCGAATGAGTTGTTTATTTGGTTTGTCTTATTTCGTGAGAAATCACAGTGGTCAACAAAGAGAAAGGGGTGACCGCTGGTGAGAGTAGGTTCAGTCCAGTAGCAAGCACCAAACCTAACTGGTCTAAATTAGTTACTTTTTTCCGGTCTGGTTAAATAGTTGAAACCATCCAGTCAAAATTAATTTGTTTGGTCCGGTTTCAGCTCCACTGATTAGGTTTTAGGAAATTGTTTTTTAATTTCAAGTTAGGTGTGGTGGATTATGTATCTCAACAATTCAAACCTTGACTTTTACTCAAAAAGTTAAAAAACTAAACTTATATGTGGTTGGTTTCAGTTTTTGTATAAAAAATAAAGACTTTGGCTGGTTTTCCATGTCGCCGAAACTTTGTTTCTTTGGAACTAGTCCGAACTGACTTGTCCAGTTCACCCGTTGTTGTGCAATTTTCCCATCCCTTGTCCCCAGTAGAGTAGAGTAGAGCAATTGTAGAATGAATACCTGGACAGTGGGAGAGAGATTCTTGTCTTTTCATAAGGATGGGGCTGGACAAGTTACTTGAGGTTGAATAAGTTAATTACAACAATTTTGGTATTAGCTATTTACGCTAGTTTAAGATCAGTTCATATGCAAATCAAGCAATGCCTGAATGACCTATTGTTCAATTTAATTCGACTCTTACCTGTGGTACCCTCTAATTGGTTGAGAAAAAATCTTGAAGGGTACTCAAAGTGGATTACATATATCTAAGTTAGATGCCATTCAAAAATTTCATTTATCTATATTTGGGACAATGGAGTACCTGAGCAACAATCACAATCCATGTAAATTGTAAATACTCGTGGGTATAATGTGCACGTTAGTCATATCAAGATTTTGGTTTTTGTAGAAATTTCAAAGAGAACCAATCTTTTGTTCTGAAATGAGCATTTATTGATTGAAAAGGTGGCTGCTAATTCTACATTAATATACGTGCTTGTGCGCACCTACACTGACACCAAAAACAACAATGCTCAAAATCTGAAAGATTTGCAGGCTAAAGTTTATCTAAAAATTTTGATTTGAGGTTAGCACTAACTTACTTGCTGATGGTATTTTTTTCCGTAAGAACTGGAGAAATTCAACCTCGTTTACTTAGAACTTGGTTGCAGAGGATCAAACGAAGAGGAAATTTGTGGTTTAACTTGATCACCTACAAAATAAGAGCAGATTTTGAAATCGAGACTGTAGAGTGCTATTTACAAATGTGTAGGGACAAGTTATTGTTATTAGATTAAAATCTGAAATATGAAATTATGATAGGGTTCAGAAAGAAATTTGTGTTCTGAAGAGAGCACTTTATGAAAAGTGGCGGATAATCCTTCTTAAATATGTACACCTGCAATGGTACTCTGATATAACATGATCAAAATCTGAAATATCTGCAGGCATGAGGAGTTCTGTCTTCAACTTAAATAATTTACAGTCTCTAGACCATTGTCATGTCTATGTACATTAGCCTTCTCAAGATTTTGGTTACAAAGATTATGAAGTTTGGAACTGAATATCTCTTAAAGACAACACTTAGTTATTGAGAGGCGGCATGTTCTAGTATAAGAACTTTGGAGCAGTTCAACTTAGCTTTCTGAAATTGTTTATTCAGATTTGCCAAAGATAGGAGCAGATTTTGTCAACGTGATCGTTTATGAAACAGGGCGTTGTCTAATGTGATTGTCTATGAAATAGGAGCAGATTTTGAGTTCGGGACTGTTTAGAGATATTTCAAAGGTGTGGATAAGCATTACTCACTGGACCAAATTTGAAATAGGTAACGGTGATTGGATTCCGATTGATGAAGCTCTTGGTGCAGGGAAGTTGGTTTATCCTGAGTACTTTTTTTTTCCCCTTTTCAATTTTGTGGATGCAAAATATTTATACTTTCTTCTCTAAAACAGAACAAAGAGTAAAATAAATTGAATGTGAAGGAGACGATGCAGTAGGTCATGTCTCTGAAACTGTTGGCTACATACACTTCCTAGTTTTTAATGGTTGCCGTCACTGAGTCTGATATTTCAAGATTTGAATTCTACTGAAATAAAAGATTTACATGCTCAGTTATCAGACATCATGAAGTTTAGTATTTCTATGAAATCCCACTACTAGTATTGGATCTCCAGTTCAATGTGTTGAGAAGGATAGACTGGAAAGTTCCATTGGATGTGGCCTTGTGTGGCAATTACTCACGTTAATTGGCCTTGTGTGGCAATTACTTACGTTAATTAACTTGTTAGGCATTTTTTGTTGTCCTTCTACAGAGCAAACAATTTCATTGCATTTTGAAGTCAACTTAGAAAATGTAATAATTTGAAGATTCCCCTGAATCACATTAAAAGCCTGTGAACAGTTCTACAAGAGTTGTATAGTATTTTCTAGTTATTCCTTGACTAGAATAAATTCTCTTTTCCAACTAGACGTGGATATCATATGCAATACAGCAGTCCAGTTTATTGCATACCCTGCCGCTCAAGGGGTTATTTCTATTTACAAGTGGTAAATTGTACCAGGTGGCACCTTTATGATTCTAATGGCGAAATTTTACTCTGACTCAAATAAGGCAATATAGTTTACAAGTTTGTTATCCGAACTTCACTAGATTCTTGTTTTCAATAGGTTATTCTTACTTGATTTTCCAGAATTTCTGTGTACTAGATAAAAGGTCATTGCTATATATGTGTTTAATTCTTGTCTTGAACTCGGCCGATTGGTTTGTAAAAATCTGACTCGTGATTGCAGGTGATAGCGACACTATCCCTTGCAGCTGCATGCTCATCAGCAGGTGTGGCGGTTCTGTTTACTAAAGATACAGATTTCTGCAAAGAAGATTCTAATTTCTCGTGCAATATGTTCCAGATGTCCATAGCTTTTGCTTTCGCTTCATGGTTTCTTCTTGCTGTGTCTTCTTATATCATGCTTTGGCTTGTGGTCTCAATTTAAATGATTTGTAATTGACACTATCAACACACGAGCACAATTTTGAACTCATAATGTACACATTGCTCATTTTGAAATGTTCAATGGAAATGATTAAATTCTCTGTCCGTCTCAATACCCCCGCTTCCCAGAAAAAGAAGCGAGAAGAAAGAAAAATGTCCTCCCCTCTATTAATTTACATGTTTATCCCACTATTTTCTGTTTCTTTTACCTGTAGGTAAGTGTCTAAAATCCACCATTTCACTTTCAATTTTCCTCCCCTCCCAGAATTTCAAGAAAGAGATCCACCATTTCACTTTCAATTTTCACTTTCAATTTTCCTCCCCTCACAGAATTTCAAGAAAGAGATCCCATTCTCCATTTCTTCTCTTTTATGGTTTATTTGAATCTACATTTTCACACAAGAATATAGAAAACATTTAATAGTGAACAAATGTGTAAGAATGGTGGATGAAAACAACGGTTCCCTATTTTAATTATTGTAATTTCAAGAGCCCTCTACAGAATGACAGGCGACACACGTGAGCGCGTGCTATGTGCAGACGGATGCGCATGGGAGTGCGTGTGAAGTTGGATTGGACTGATTTTGCGTGGGGTTTGATTTGTTCTTCGATGTGGAACTGATGTTTTGGAAGAAACAAAAACCAGACAATAAAATTATTTGAATAGTTGCGAAATTGGGTGATTCGGACAGGAATTGGCTTAGGAACGTTCAACAATCACCCAAAACAGAGACAAAAAAGAATAATATTACGATCTTTTAATATTTTCAACGTTGAACATGGCACTCATATTTCACGTGTATAAGCTTCGCATAGTTGCGAGGAGTACATGAAAACAATGTAAGATCACCAAGGCCGTGTTTGATAGACGGAATTTTTCAGGGAACTAGGAAAATATTTTCCACTTTCCACATTTTTGACTGTTTGATATGCGAAATTTTTCACGGAAAATATTTTCCAACTTACCCCCACACGTGTTCATTTTCCGGGTAATGAAGGAAAATTTTTTCCCAACTTTTTAGTGGGAAATTTTTTTTCAGATTGACTGCAAAATTTTTGTTTTTTTGGTAATGGAAACAAATGTCATACTCAATGGTAAAAAAAAAAATTTCACTTTAATGGACAATTTTTATGTAAAACAATGTCAAACGAACACTAAACTTTCATGAAAAAATGATTTTTTAAGAAACAAATTTTTTTTCCTTTTTTTTTTTTAACTTTTTGGCAATGGAAACAAATTTTATAACCAATTGTAAAAAAATATCAATTTAATGGACAATTTTCATGTAAAATAAAGNATCAAGTTCCCAACACTTTAGGGTTTTGTTTAACAACTATGTCGTGTTAGGAAATTGTGAGAACCATCCACCACCAAAATTCTTACGCATAAAGAAACCATGTGAGGAGAACTTAAAATTCACAAAACCAACACCCAGAGGAATGCGATTATTTTTTGTAATAAAATCAGGAGGGTAGAAGGAAGGACCTGTTGTTTAGTGGTGGAGTGGGCATTAAGTTGTAGAGCGAGGGCGGCATTGGAGGCCAGAGAATGCGCGTGGAGGTGGGGCAGGCGTTGTGAGATGTCTGGAGGGGGCAATCTCTGCCGTAGATCTTGGATCGAACGGTTTAAGGAAGTAGCCTTCCGATCCAGTTCTTGAACGTATGTCTGTTGTTCGGAGGTGAGGATCAGCGGAATGGAATCCGGGTCATTTTCTTCATCGGTCCTCTCTCCGCCATTGCCTCCCACCACGTCCGCCGCCCATGCTAGTAGTCCCGCCATCTTCTTCCCGGCGATGATTTTTGTGCTCTTATGTCCGAGCTCAAAAGAAATAGTTTGCTAGAGATTTACTTCAGATTTGCCTGTGTTTCGGTTTTCTTAACGTTCAATTTTAATCCCAATTTCTTAAAAAAAATATTTGTCATGTTTTCTATAACTTTTTTCTATCGTTTTAATATGTACTCTAGTTTATTTTAAATTTTTCATTACTCGAATTGAAGATCACAAAATGGATAAACTATATGAGAAAGAGAAAAAAAAATTCTCTGCTTCGTATTGCTTCCATAGAAGTGATAGGAATTTTTGTTCAAATTTATGAAAACACTTGTAATGATCAACTTAAGAGGTACATTGAACTTAACTTCTCTTTAATACAATACATTATAGGGAAATTACAAAAAATCAGGGGTTTAAAGATAACTTTTTAAAAGTCAGGTCCAAAACTTATTTATTCAAAAATCAGATACTATATATTAAAACCCTAACCCTAATTTATCACTCACTCTCAACTTCTTCACCCCTCTCTCTCTCTCGCGCACCTCCTCTCTCCCCCCCTCTCTGTCTCGCCTCCCCTCCTCTTCCTTTCCCTGCCATCTTTCTCTCCCTTCCCCCCTCTTCACTCTCTCCTATCCCTTTCTCCACTCTCTCTGCCATCAGTTCGATTGCAGCCGTCACCGTAGCTTCACCGGCGAGACACCACTGCTGCAGATCTGCTACAGGCGGCGCACAATCGAATCGGATCTTGTCGGTGTCTCACCGCAGGAATCCAACAGCGACAAAGATGGTATTGAGGTGGTCGGGGTCGAGGTTGTCGTTCGTCTCCATTTCACCCCAGAAGGAGCGCGAATCGCCGGCCAGGAACGCGAATCGCTGCGATCGGTCACAATCAACACAAAATTAGTTAAAAACAATCACGACGACCACAAGCGTACCGCAAAACCGCCACCACATGAAGATCCATGCCCGTAGCTGTAACCAGCATTCCGTACCACTTCATATAACACCAGTCACCATCGCCAAAACACCACCATAACACCTCATACCACCGCACAACACCCACTACACATTGTACACACCACCACACCACACACAGCATCCACTACACACCACTGCACCCAACCACCGGACATAGCACCGCACACCACCACGCCTAACCTCAACTGAACCCAACCTCCACTAAGCACCATCGCACCCAACCACCGCATAAAAAAAATGAATAATGGATTGCACCATGCACATTGAAGATGAACAACAGTGCACTGACTGATACTATAGAAGCGATAAGCTATCATTGTGCTGTGAACCGTCGTTGGCATCAGTCGACGCAACGTCGCCCAGTTCATCGTCACCGACATCGTCGCCCAGTTCATCGAGCTGCCATTCAAAAAGAGAGGATAAACAGCTGCGAAGATGCTCTCTGGAGTCAGGAGCTCCTCAACGTCGACGGTGTTAAGGGAGAGGGTAGAGAGAGAGCAATGAGAAGACTGAGAGCGAGAGAGAGACTCTGTGTGTAGAGAGAATGATGAAGATGTGGTTATGGATGAATAGGGAATTTGAGGGTATCGTTGGGTTGTGTGAAGGGAATTTGATAGGTTTGATTAAATTTTTAATAATTATAATTATAAAATATAATTACCACATGAATTTTGAAATGTAAACTCTATCCCCTTATTTTTGAATTGTAATCTTGAAAATAAGGGTTTTAGGTAATTTTCTCATTATAAAATGACTTGCAAGTTTTAATTGTGTCATAACATATAGTTTGTACTAGCTATGTCAACGAGTCGAGCCGAGCCCGAGTAGCAAAAAAGCTTTTTTCGTGCCCAAACCCAGCCGAGCCCGGCTAAAAAAAAATAAGGCTCGACCCGAGCCGGCTTGATTATTTATTTTTTTTCTCCTGTAGGCAGCTTTTTAATTTTTTTTTTATTAGTTTCAATTTTTTTTATTAATTACAGGCAGGCCCGTGCCAACCCCCCAAAATGGGGCTCGACCTTAGCCTTGGCTCGGTTCCATAGAGCTCGAGCCCGAGCCTGGCCCGGCTCGGGCTTTTTCCGGGCCGAGCCAGAGCCGCCAGCTTTTTTGCCATCCCTAGTTTGTACTATGCCAATTTTACACTTCCAGTTTTAATTGGGCCTCTTTTACAGAATTCATTTGTTGGTCCAATCTTCTATATTTTAATTTTTGGGCATTTATTTTATATTCATATGTGTGCTATTTTTGCATATGTTAATGTTTAGAATAATATATGTAATTTCATGATGAATTAAATTATGAAAAGTTACAATTACACTCATATTTATTTTGCATGGGTTAATTATTTTACTCAATTTATAATGTTTATGAGAATATTTTATGCATAATCATAACATATTAGTTAATATTGTGCTATTAAACTTATTCTCATATTGAATTAATCGTTTTTGCATAAATAGTTAATGTCTAAGTGATCTATATAGTTTTATTTAATTAGGGTTTAGCCACAATATCTTTAATTAAATAAAATTATATATTAAGTTTATGATAACATAAAGAGTAAAGACGTTAAATTGTAATTAATTATACTTAATATAATGAATTTTATCCCATAGGAATTTTTGTTATATTTATATAATTAATTAGAATAAAATATCAAATTACCTCATAATTTGCCCACAGTAAATTATGAATAAGTATACAATTTGATAGTTTTATTATAAAATTTACTTTAGACTAGTATCATATTGTTTTCATATTTAACTTAAGTATGAATTAAGTGCATAATTTGATAATTCTATCATAAGTTACTCGAAAGGAGGAAATCGATTACATTGGGACCTTCTCTCTGATATCTAAGAAATATTCTCTACGTATTATTTTGACATTAGTAGCGTAATTTGACCTTGAGTTACAACAAATGGATGTGAAAACGTCATTTCTCAAGGCGATTTAGAAGAAGAAGTTTATATGAAACGACCTAAAGGATTTCCCTCTAACAATGGTGAGCACTTGGCCTATAAGTTTAAAAAATCTATATATGGTCTAAAACAAGCATCCCCTCAATGATATTTTAAATTCCATGGAGTAATTTATTAATTTGGATTTGTTGAAAATCTTATGGATCAATATATATACCAGAATGTTAGTAGGAGTAAGATTTGTTTTCTTGTTTTATAAATGACATTTTACTTGCAACAATGATAAATGTTTGTTGCATGAGGTGAAACAATTCTTCTCTAAACATTTTGATGTGAAGGATATGGGTGGGGTATCTGATGTCATTGGCATTAAAATTCATAGAAACAGATTATGAGGTATTTTGGGTCTATCTCGAAAATTTATATCAACAAAATATTAGAGAGATTTCAGATGAAGAATTATTCACCAAGTGTAGCTCCCATTATGAAGGGTGATAGGCTCAATTTAAACCAATACCAGAAAAATGATATAGAAAATGATCAAATGAAGAACATTTCATATGATTTCGCTATCGAAAGCCTAATGTAGGTTTAGGTGTGCATAAAGCTTGACATTGCATTTGTTATAGGAATGTTAAGACGATATCAAAGTAATCTAGGTATAGACCACTGAGAGCAGCAAATAAAGTAATGGGGTACCTTCAACGAACCAAAAATTACACGCTTATGTATAAACGAACGGATAATTTGGAAATAATTAGATACTCAGATTTAGACTTTGCCAGCTGTGTTGATTCACAAAAATCATCATCATGGTATATTTTTATTATGGGTGGTGGAGCTGTATCATGGATGATTGCCAAGCAAACCTTGACTGCTACTTCTACTATGGAAGTCAAATTCATTTCCTGTTTTGAAACTACTTCGCATGGTGTATGGATCAAGAGTCTCATATCTGGGCCATTGAGAACTTACTGTGACAATTGGTTGTTATCTTTATGGCTAAGAACAATAAAGGTGGTAGTCGACGTAAACATATCGACATTAAGTATTTAACCATATGAGAACGTATTAAAGAAAAAAGTGGTCATTGAACACGTAAGCACTAAATTGATTTTGTTGATCATTTGAGTAAAGGCATGCCATCATTGAAATTCAAGGATCATGCAGAGAAAATGGGACTTGGTTTCACTATTTAATGATATATACAATTTTTGTATGGAACTTTTACTTATTATGATGTTTTCTCATATTCACAGGCGCCTAATTTGAGAAAATACATTTTTATAGCATCAAGAATAAGACATGTGGTCTTTTACATTAAGTATTGTTACCACAAAAAAAGTAATTCTTGACGAACTAAATAAATTGTAATATATGGAAGATAAAACTCGTTATTAAAAGACCCATCACCGTGATTCATGTATTTATTTCTTAAGAAGGACAATTGATGGTGTTGACCTCAAAAAATGTGCCAACAGAATCCCATCCTCCTCCCCTCCACTTTGATATCACCTCCACACTGGAACACCCCGTTGGAAGGCAAATGGTCGTCTGTTTATAAGACTTCGATAATTCGAGAGCTATTCGAGGGATATTTATTCCTAACCTCGCCAAATGATTATTCCTGGATTCGTGGGATGTTTATACCCCACTTCGCGAGATGTTTATTCCTCGCTTCTCACCGCCGTCGAGTCCAGAGTAAAGAACTCTTCTATTTGAGGCTAGCATATAAGATATCAAAAGTTTGAGATGAGCCACTAGATCGATAGTCATTCTTCACTTTGTGAGATGCCTCAACTTACGCGATATTGTATTACAACTGCATTTATCTTCAAAGAGCTCATTATGCCTAAGCATCGACTGTATTACATCGACCTATCTTTCAGAGCTTTGTCTAAGCTTCAACTATGTTACATCTACTAATTCTCAGAGAGTTTATATTATTTACCGCTTCGTAAGAAAATGGGTGGGCCCATCTTAATCCCTACGAAGAAGCCTTCCATGACTGGATCAATCACTATGGAGGAAGCCCTCAACGCGCCTTCCCCATGTAAGGATGCCGGCTTATTATAGCTACTTATGTCCAGAGGATCGCCTCTGCTACTCACATTCAGAGTATCGTATCTGCTACTTACACATTCAGAGCATCGTCTCTGCTACTCACATTCAAAACATCACCTTTGCTACTTATATTTAGAGTATCGCCTCTGTTACTCACACATTCAAAGCATCGTCTCTGCTATTCACATTCAGAGCATCACTCCTATTGCTTATGTCCAGTGCATCGCCTCTACATCAGCTTATCACAACTGCTTATATATTTAGTCTCATCTTTACATCAATCATAGTGGCTTATATTCTAAGTCCGATCAGCATATTAAAATTCGACTCAGACTTGAGGGACTATAGGTAGCATGTCATGATAATATTTTCACTACTGTTCGTACGTATGTTACGTTATCTACATTATCAACATGTTGCTTCACTATAGCACTACTATTACATTAAGTTGTGCTAGGATATGTCTTGTTATGATACGTGATAGGCTTTCTGCATATTATATCTTGGAGAAATGTGATATATCATTATTCACGTTATCATTTTGAGTAATTTGAGGGGGCAAATGGATCCCGCTTTATTTTATATATGTGTGGCGGAGATATTATGTTTTATTACATGTTGATTTAGTCCATATTATAGATGAGATGTTGCTGAAATTTTGAAAAATTATATGTAGCATCTATCTTTTGAGGCAATTCGTAAGTCCTCACTTATTCAGGCTCACACACATATTTTTTAAGGCAGTTCGTAAGTCCTCACTTTTTGGAACAATATATATTCTTGAGACAATTCGTAAGTCCTCGCTTATAAGTGATCATTAGCAACTTTAAGTGAGAGAGTTGTGGTACTGACACATGTTCAACACCAATAAAATGTTCCATTACTTGTCCTTTTTTATTTATATAATGTAAAATAATTGACATTTACTCCTTCACTAAAACATCTCTAGATTCATCCACAAGAATGTAAAACAATCCATCACCAATATCCTTCATAATAACATTGAGTATTTCAAATGTAATAGCATAATATCATTTTGAATACTAGGTGTTATATCCATAAATTACGTGGTATGCTCAGAGTGAGGGGGTCCTATATATGTCGACGTGGTATCAACATTCAATTGATGGAGCTATTTAATTAAACAATTGCATCTTGGGCTTCGCCCATTAACCACTGGCCTATTACATTTTTTCTATATATGTGTAAGCTCATTCACAATAAGGTATGTTTTCTAACCCTATCCAAATTCACTCTTCCTCTTTTGCACTCATTTTTCCTCATCTAGCAGTTGACTTGACCATCGGAGTGCAAACGGTCGTCGGAATTTTTTCTCCACTAGCAGCCTTTGCCTCCTAATGGGCTATTCAATGTGCATGTGATGTCCATGTAGAGGGGACGTGTGAGGGATTCTGTTGGCACATTTTTTGTGGTCAACAGATATGATTAGGTTGAGACATTGGGTTGAACGTAGGGACCAAGTGGAAGAATGTAACCTATCCATTCCTTCCCGTTTCTTCAAGGAATTGATGGTCTACATTCATGATTTCAATTTTCCACATTTACAAACAACATTCATGGGGTTTCATTTCTCCATTGATTGGAAGATAACATTAGCCAAAATTTGATGGGGTTTTGGCTATATCTATATATAGATGTGTTTGGTCCTTAAGCTCCACTACCAAAAATACACATTATACACTATTGACTCCAAAAAATGAACTCAATAAATGCCGGATCTACTCTTGCCACGTCAAGTGCTGATCCGACACTTTTTTCTACCGGAATGGGAACGTTGGTTTGACTGTAATGAACGTAGGAAGCACTTTCCGACGAGAGACACAAATGTTTAGACTCCGGCGATTGGATTTGAGCAGCACTCGCATGATCAACACGTGCTCGATCCGTTTTCCTTACCTAAATCACTCGTTTTGTAATAGAATATTTGAAGGATAGATGTGGCAATGTATTGTATAATGTTGGAATATCAATGTATGTTCTTCACTTGTATTTTGTAAGACAAAGTATATAAGGAAGTTATTTTATTTCTCGATTCCACCATCCCCTTTTTCAGTACAAAAAGAGGCTATTTATACTAATCTAGCCGACGTGGTTACCATCCGATCACATCTACGTGGCGATATCTTCTAGATCGAAGACTCACATCACTGTCTACTCATCATATTCAATGTTTAACAAAGGGTCAACCGTGCTAATAGGCTGACACACTGACATATTAAAGTTACAGACACTTTATTACAGACGTCCCATCAATCAGTTCTATGAGATCTTCGAATCTGTTAGGGGGCAACATCGACATCAACATATGTTGAGGTCTGTTCCTGGCTTATGGACACCTGGTGTAGTTGAGCTTCACTGCTTTAGTATTTCGGACATAAGGAGCCTCTGCATTGCACAGGAGGACTTTAAGCAGACTTTCGTGATTGGGCTGAAGGGGACATCGATCAATTATAGCTTCGACACTTGCATGACTTCGGACAGTGGCATCCTCTGTCGTCCTTGACTATATTGACTCCCCTGTTGACTTTTCAACTGGCTATGCGTTCACTCGGCTATACGGAAAGCGTGGATATCCACGTGGATATGCTGTATACGTAGCAGTCCATGTGGAGTGCTGCTTTGGAGCCTCTGATTTTGGGGGGTAACATACACCATCAATTTCAGAGTGCTGAGAGCTTATAAGTATCAGTACCCAATATCAATGGCCGGAGGTATGAACTCAATCCATAAGTTTTCGATTTTTCGATCCAATTTGTTTCCTCATAGTTGTTTTGGATCGATCTTTAGTCTAACAAGATCCTCATAAGCTATTGTAGATGCAAGAATTGTATATGTATGTTGGATTGATTTAAAGGTTAGCTACACTAAAGGTGGTCCTTGTTGGCTTGAAGTAACAATTTATTTTGATTATTTCAGATGTATTTAGTCTTCTGAAAATTTGTTGATTTAGTGTCTATTTGATTTTTTAAAGATATATTTGGTTTGTGGGTTGGGGTGCAAGTGGTCGAGGAGGTGGTGGTGGTGTGCTGTGGATTTGAGGTGGTGGCGACGTTTTGGGGTGCCAGTGGTGGTGGTGAGAGGTTGTGGATTTGAGGCGACTAATGAGATGGACTTTACTTATTTTATAGATGATGGCAAAGATGTCAAATGGAGCGAGCAAGCTAGCATTTTCACCTGTGTGCAGATCTCATGACTAGCTCGTGAGGTGAAAAAAATTAAAATTTCAATTTAATTTAAAAATAAAACTAGCTTGGTCGGGCAAATCAAGCCACAAAATTTTAAAATAAGCTGCATGTGTAGCTCGTGCTAGTGGCTAATGCTGACTCATTAACACCACTAGATGAGAGGCTCATAAGTCCACCTTGCTCATAATGTTTCATTAGTCCATTAAATTGAATAGATCCCTACTGGTGCATGTAGTCTAATAGACTTGGGGAATGTTTAATATGTTATTAGTGTAACATATTTTTTATACAGTCAAATAACACATTCTTCTAGTTACCAAAACCCTGAATTCATCACCCTCAAACTAACATATTACTTCCTTTGTGCTTTAAGTGTCCTCGTCAAAGAAAAGTTACGATGATGAAAACGATTGATTCGATCTCTACCGAAAGTAATAATTTAATATCTACTATGTTATAATTAAAAATTAATTTACGATATTAAAAGAAATATAATTGCGAATAATTTATTTATTATGTTATTGAATTTTAATTGTAATTTCTACAAAATTTACAATCTTAAACTAAACCACCACAATTCTACAACTTCGAGTATCCTAAAAAAATGTTCTATATTATTCTTGATCGAAATCAAGCACGATTGAGTATGATGTTCTCAGTTAATTGGATTGAACAATAGTAGTGTCAAGTATCTCAATTAAGTAATCTTATTGTAGCAAGCGTAGCAGGAATAACTATAGTCCATAGGTTGAGATCCATGATAGATAACTACTTAGTGAAATCAGCTGTTGCAATACTGATAATGTATTCAATCTCCTCAGCGACCTACTTCATAGAAGGCCTGTTTTGTTTGTATTCGTTCAAGCAACGTAAAGCCAGA